GTCCCTGTCCGGGGCAGGGGCTGGAGCTGGAGGAGCTTTGAGGTTCCTGCAACCCAGACCAGGCTGGGGTTCTATAAACTGGTTCAGTATCTTAATGACGGGTGACATGGAGTTTCTGCTACTTCCAAGGTCAAGTCCTGAAGGAAAAGGATGGACCCCTGCCCTCTCCTCAAGACTGTGCAGTTCAGTTCTTTAAGGACAGATGTATTCAAGTCTGTTTGCAAGTGCATCAACTTTAGTCCCCCCATTGTCATTATCCCACTTTCACAAGGTAAAATTCATGCCCTGAGGAAACGCAGCATCAGCTCCTGGTATCCATGGGAATGGGGCAGCATATCCCACTGTCCTCTGTCAGGAACAGCTGCCTCCTGTGGGAACATTCTCTCAGCAGAAGGCACTTCAATCTGTGCTGGAACTGTGGCCATAATCCATCTTCTGCTGTTCTGAAGCCACAAAAACTGCCCCTCTCCTGCAGGCAGAGCCCTTCCTGGTAATCCTTTGGAGGTGATGATCCCAAGGCTCCAACAACATGGACCAGAAGCAATATATCCTCTTGGTCCACTCAGCGACACCGAGGGCAGGGTTTGGGTGCAGAAAGCAATGAAGTTTCTCCATCAAGTCACTGACCTTGTCCAAGTGCTGGGGCAGCATCCACAAGAGGAAACCATAGTCACATTTGGGCTTGTTCCATCCCAGCATCAGACAGAAGTGACCGTGGATGAGATTTGCTGCTCCCACTGTATTCCATGTGCAAACGCTGAAGACAAAGGAAACCCTCTGCTGCTGCAGCTCCAGCCCATTCACAAGTCCTCCAGAAGCTCAAACACCCGATTCATTTGATAGGGATCCCAGATTGGTTGGGTTGGAAGGGACCTTGAAGCTCATCCAGCTGCAACCCCCTGCCCCGGGCAGGGACACCTTCCACTAGAGCAGGTTGCTCCAAGCCCCTGTGTCCAACCTGGCCTTGAACACTGCCAGGGATGGGGCATCACTTCCAAGGTCCAACAGAGCACCAGCACATCTGCTGATTCCCCCTCCCAGCACGTCTGTGTGCAGGGATCGAGGGGGGAAGCACCATTTGGAGAACACAGAGAGGAGCCAGGCTCGGAGCCACCGCTCCCCTTTTTACTGCTTGTTTGATGCAGCAACAGAGGAGAAAAATCAGGAAGCGAGATCCTGACAGCATCAGCTCCCACCCTGCCAGCCACGGGTTCCCCTAACGCAGTGCCTGTGCTCAGTGGTAATGCACACAACAAAACCATGAATAAAACAAGACAGGAATGTCAAGAATTGATGTGCCAAACACATTATCTTAAATGAAACTCAGGACTGGCCTTGAGTCTGACAATGGGAAACGCAGCTACTGCACATCAGCCTGCCAGGGTTTCAGAAGGAAGAAATCCCACTTTCCAAAGCTCTCGGATCCGAAATCCCTGGTAGCAAAAATTTATTCTCATGACTTGAAGACAAGGAGAAATTTATAAACGTTTTCTAGACCCACCCAATAGAACAGGGAATGTTCCATTCCCATCACCAACACCCGGGAGCCAAGCAGCCGAACCAGCTCTGCCGTGAGCACGGCGCCAGCCAGGAGCACGGCCCCTGTGCCTCCTGCTTCCCAACCCCACGCACGCCAGGGAAGTCTCTTTGGAAGGTCCGCAGTTTTTCCAGCCTAGTGTCCACCATCAGAAGGAGCAAGAACAAAGCAGCACAACTCATCTCAAACCCGACACACACCCACATTGTTAGATTCTCCTAGAAAATAAGTAGTTCCGACTCATCTCTTCTCCCCCCAGGAGCCCACGTGCCGGCGCCGGGCTCAGCGCATGAGCAGGCTGTGCTTTGGTCCGTCCACTCTCTCCAGCTTCTCAAAGTGTTTTCGGGCATTGCGGATGTTGATCAGCGTGGCCGCAGAGGCTAGGGCGGAAAAGGGGCAGGGAGATAGGCACGAGTGAGAAGGGATGTGAGTAAGCAACATCCCCATCCCCAAACTCTCTTGTTTTAACCCCACCCCTCAAAGCCTGCGGGGCTTGGAGCACCCTGGCCTAGTGGAAGGTGCCCCTGCCCCTGTCAGGGGCCTGGAGCAGAGTGTCAGCCACACAGTGTCTCTTAAGCACCTCAAACCCTCCCTGGAGCAGTTACAGCTGGAGCTCTGTGAGCAGTTAAACAGTCCCTCTGTGCCCCCAAGGGCTGGCGCTGCTGCCTGCAGCTTCTTCCTTAAGATAAATAGATGCTGCTATAATTAGAGGCATTGGCCCACCAAGACCATCCAGGCAGTGAGAGCAAGAGCTCCAACAGGATCCAGCCCTGCTTCCTCTGCAAACATCACCGGGGCTGCCAGAGGAGGACAGCCCAAAATAGGTTATTAGACACGAGCTACTAAATCAGGTCACATCTGTTCGAGCGGTTCCCTCCGCTCGCGGTAACACAAAGCTCAGCTCTCCAGGCACATGTCTCTTGCCTTCTGTGGTCACTTTTTAGCCACCCCCTGCTCAGATCCCTCCCTATCTTTTCATTCCAATCAGGTTCTCTTCTTCGCCCAGTGTTTGCTGTTTTCCAAGGGAAACACAGTTTAAACCAGACTCTTTCAGCTTTTAGTCCCCGCAAACACTCACAGGCCAAGGGCTTGATCTTTGCTTCAACTTACGTATGGAAGGGTCTGACATAACCACCATCACGTATGTATTTGATGTAAAGATGTCAATGAAAGCAGCAAAGTTAGAGTTCCTGACCTCCATGCTCTGGAAAGAAGCTGCCAGCTTACTAAGAGGGGAGACAAAAGGGAAAGAAAGGGAAAACCAGAGTAAACAACCAATTGCTGTAGCATTGCTCCAACAGCTTTGGTGCCCACACAGCAAACATCCCTTCATTTGAGCTGCTGGTAACAAAGAGGTGTTTGAGTCCCACTTGGCAGGAGACACCAGGTGTGACCACGAGTTTGGTTGTTGGGTTTTATTCTCTTAACAAAAATACTCTCTACTTCAGACTGAGAAATCAATCTGAAGTGGTTTGCACACGGAATGGTGAACGTAGTTCAAGATACACAACCCCACCGAGGCTGCTGTGCCCGTGCACTCAGTGTCCCCTGCCCCATGGATGTGACAGCTCAGCCCTGCTCAAGGACAGTTAACACTGAAACATCTGCAGACAGCTCTGACAGCCACGGGGCACTCCCCCATCCTGCTCAGGCTCCAAGCGCTTGCAGATACTACCAACAGCCTCTGGGACCTGGAGGAGGTTCAAAAGCCAAGAGACTTCCCACTTGTGCAGTCAAAACATCAATAAACAGCATCTGCAAACCTCCTCCTCCCAAACCAGCACCGTGGAGCGGGGGCAAAAGCTCTCAACCTGACTATCACCAGTTTTTCACTTCAGTCCTGGAACCTCCCTGCCTTGCCTGGAAGAAAACCAAAGCTCCTTCAACCGGCAGCAAAGGAGGAAGTCACAAAAGACAACAACTAACTCGGTGCTGAAGCACGGTGCAATTTAACTGCAGCATCTCATAGAGCTTGTATGAGTGTGGAGAGCCCCTGCTTGCCTGGAGAACGCTGCAGCACCCACCGAGGCATCACCCAGCTCACCTGCAGCTCAGCTTGAATTGCTTTATTATGTTGCTGATTTTCTCAAACCTGTGGACATCCCGTTGTTCTTTGCATTGATAGTGAGAGATGACCTGGAAGGCAGAAGGAGAGAGCACGGAGTTAGTGAGGGATTCCTTTCACTTCTTCAGGCTTTTATGCGAAGCAGGTGGTGACCAGGACAGAGATTCCCTTTATCTTTGGCTGATTCAATCTTGGAACCTGTTTGCAGCAAGACTGATGGTGCTTTCATGGTGAGACAAGCTCAGTAACACAATCACCAGGAAGGCTTTCAAAGGCAGATGCAAGTATGTAAGATATGCAAGAGACACGATTGCCCATTTGGGGTCTGAGTACCCCAACTCAGCAGCAGTTTAAATCTTGATTCAAAGAAAAGGTGCAAGGAGAAGGGGGGAAATGCCAGACCATCACCTCAAGTAGGGGAATCAGACACTTCACCAGTGCTGGAATAGCTTTTCCTTCCCAAGTCTATTGTGCTGCAGATTCCCAAGGAGTGAACCTGAGAATTTCCCATTCTGCAAGAGGCAGGATGCTCACACACTGCCCTCAAAGCCAAAGCAGGCTGCTCCTCCCCAAGAGAAGCAGAACAAAGGCAGCTGGTTTCCTCAGGAGTTCCCCCTCTCCATGAGTTCAGAGTCAGACCAAGCCTGTGCTAAGCTGCCTGCATCCACATCAGTTCCCTCCTCTTCCTCACACACAACAATCCAGCAGCAACACACAGACCTTGGGGCCTGGCTGCAAGGATCCAGAGGATCTCAAATGGTTTGGAATCCTTGCAGATGATCCATAGCTGCATCTCCAGGGCCACTTCCACCAAGCTGGGACCCTACAACTCCTCATCCTCATCGGCTAACGGGCCGAGATCTGCATTACTGCACAAGGGGAATGGCACACAGTGCCAGCTGCACCATCTTCATTCCCACAGCACACCAAAAAGGAGATTGCAAAGGCTTATTCTGTGTGCTTTAAGCTCTTAAGAATCATGAAACAAACCACTACTGGAAGTGTCAAACGCCCTCCCACAAGGATGTTAAACTCTTACTCTTCTTCCTATGGAGTCACATTGAACAGCCTTGTGAGAACCAAGTTTTGGGGTTGTTATTTTCCCTTAGAACACCCTTCAGTGATGACGTTCTTATCGTTTTGAACCTGCCCAGTTATTCACACTGGTACAGGTTTAGTCAGGTTCAAGGGCTGCAGTTAAACCAAAGCCTTCCCTGGATGCAGGTTTGTTCCTGATCTTCCCAGATGGGTTTTCCTGTTACTGTGATTTGAATACAATTTCAGAGGAAGAGTTCACTTCAGGAGAAGAGAGTCCTGAGGGAAGCTTAAATATACTAAAGAAACACTGGGAAGAAAAGCCTTTTAAAAGTCACCACGACACTGAAATCAGCAGCAAGTTTTTGGAGCAAAGATTATTCTTTTCCCATAAAAAAGGTACTTTAAGTACTGCTGCATACACCAGGGTGGAACCACTTACTATCTGCAAAAGGTCAAAAAGCAGAACTTGCCACAAATGGTGGGGGTTCACTTCTGGTAGTTTAAGAAGTGCAGCAAGATGCTGGATCGTTCTCCATGGTCCCTCCATCACTTCAGAATCAGACATTTGGCCAGTAGGAAAGCACTCAAAAATCAACACATCAAACCCATTCCTGCAGGTCAGCAAGAGATTTGTGTGAGTCTGAAGAGACCCATCCAGAAACCAAGAGTATGGATGGACACGCAGCAACAGTGGGTTTAACCAACACATTTTACCTTGCAGATACAACAGGTTGGAAGCAGTTACTATGCCCCGGTAACTTTGAAAGCTGTTGTAAACCCATTGCTTGTGATCCTCCATCCATGCTCTGGGTTTGCAGAGATCAGACAAGAAGGAAAAAAGTCACCAAGACCAGCTTGAAAGCCTGAAAAGGCTTTTTTGAACATAAAGAAGGTTCTTGCCCTGTGCAGAAAGGAATTCCCAAGGAAGTCCCACAGCCAACAACAGAATGGGGATATGAAACCCTCTCATAGCCTGGGAGAGGGAAATGCTGACCAAGCCCTCAGCAAAACTGCCAGAAGTTTTGGAAGGTCCCTGGAGCCACATCAGCCACTTTCAGTGTCACAAAGCGTGGATCGAGGCCTCCTGCCATCTGGTGCTGCCTCCTCTCTGTGGGCTGTTGCCACCACAGCACCTTCCACCCGGGAACCCTGTCCCAGGCTGGGCAGAGCTGTTGTATTCACCAGGAACGTGGCTCTCTCAAACAGAAGCACTTCGTCTGCCTCGATGATCTGAGCAAAGTTCCTCAGGTTCATTTCCAGCTGCTGGACATTGGGAATCAGCTGATAGACTATACTGGACCAAGCCTGTCAATGAAGAAAGACACAACGTCAGAGCTGAGTCAGCACTTCTCTGCTCCAAACCAGTTCTGGGTGCTGACAGCCTAGGCAAGGCTGAGGAGCTTCTCCCATCTCCATGTGTCTCTACCACAGTGGAAACCACCAGTGGTACCCCAGACCTGAGTAAACTCTTCTCTAGGTCAAGTTCTTCTCCACATCAGTCACAGAGAAACTAGAATACTATTAAACAGGCTTAAATCCTTCTAATTTTAAGCTGTCAATGTTTCTTTCTACTGCTCCAGATAAACCTGCTTAGGTTGCCAGAGTTTCTGCTGATCCTGAGCAAGGTCAGCATGCAGAGGGATCCTTGGCAGCTCCAAACAGAAAGCTCTCATCCAACCCAGTGAGTCAGGAACAAGCCCAGAAGGGACAGGGGATGCTTTAACAGGCATCTGTCCTCCTTCAGACTCAGATCCTCTCAGCTGAGCTCAGCTCACTGCCACCTCCTGACCCAGGTCTGTGCCAGTGCCTGGCCACACGCTTCCCCCCAGCAGTCAGGCTGGATAAACATGACTAAAAGATGCAGAAGTTCTTTCTAAAGTAGCCAGGCAAAGTGTTTAAGCAGTATTAAGATACTGACACCACGAGCCCAACATGTGGTGGGGTTTTACTTGTCCTACTTAAAGCCAGGAAGCTTTGATGCCATTTACAACAGCTAAGCCCCACCAGCAGTGGTGGCAGAACTAAGAGGGACAGTCATTAGCAAGCCAGTAGCACCTAACCACTCGCCTTCCTCATGCTCGTTGCTTTCAAGTGGGCGAGGGGGCAGCCAGATGTGCAGAGGAAGCTGTACAAACCTTGTAAAGTGTTTCATCCCAGATGGAAGTTCTAAAACAAACACATTCCAAGGGACGGGAAAGGCGCTTCAAGTCCTCCTCACGCTCTTTGAAAATCTGGGAATAGAAAAGAGATCAGCAGTTGAGCGTGGATATTCCTGCCTCTGGTGTGGTTCAAACATCTCAAGTACAGAGAGAGGGTGAGAGCAGAGCTGGCCAGGCCAGAGCAGCAGGGACAGGCAGAGCGTGGCTGTGCTGCCACTGGTGTGAGCGGGACTCAAAGCTGAAATAACCACGAGCGTTGCGGGGTGGGACCAGGAGCAGACACACGGGAGTGTCTCCAAGGACCCACATTCTGACAAGCCCCTGCTCACAGGCAAAAAAGCTTCATCACTGAGAAGAGGACAGGAAGAGAACACCTGAGGGTCATCAACCTGGAGAGGGGCTTTGGACAAGGGCCTGTAGGGACAGGACAAGGGGAATGGCTTTAACCTGCCAGAGGGGAGATTGAGATGAGCTCTGAGGCAGAAGCTCTTCCCTGGGAGGGTGCTGAGGCGCTGGCACAGGGTGCCCAGAGAAGCTGTGGCTGCCCCATCCCTGGCAGTGTTCAAGGCCAGGTTGGACACAGGGACTTGGAGCAACCTGCTCTAGTGGAAGATGTCCCTGCCCGTGGCAGGGGTTGGAGCTGGAGGAGCTTTGAGGTCCCTCCAGCCCAAACCAGTCTGGGGTTCTATGAATAGAAGCACCTCCAAGGCACATACTCATACAGCCTCCTCCTCTCACCCCATACTCTGCCCTTAGAGGTTATGGCTGCAAAAAAGGGGAGCAGCAGAACAGCAAAGACCAGAGAACCTTGTGCCAGCTCCTGCAGGACTGCTAACAGAGCAGCAGGGCAGCCAGCAACGGGCCTCCGCAGGGGAAGGCACAACGACACCTACACTCACTGTGTTTAGGAACACGAGGGAACATTAACCAATCCCCAGGGAATGCTGTGTAAGCCAACACCTGCCATGCGGGTCCTGGGATATCAAAGGCTTCAGTAAGACTCACAGTGATTTGGCCCAGTATTTGCATGTTCTTCTGAGTAGCAGGTGCCTTAAACCAGACCTTGAAGTGTGTGCAATGCTACACGCTAAAAGTGGATCTGAAGCAAGGCCCCTCTCAGGTCTACCCCCTGCTTCAAGGCCTCAGTGGAGTCTGTACAGCTGTGTGAAACCAGCACTTGTCCACTAGTCCCAAACAAAACTGGACAGGGCAGAAGACTTTAGGCTCATCCTTCAGCCTGGATGGAAGTGAGGAAAAGCTCCTTGAATCAACCCCACAAACAAGCTCTGAGCTATTTCTGCACCGAGCTGGAGGCAGAAGTAAAACTGGAAGTGGAGGATCAGCCCTCTGAGGCAGTGTGAGTGATCCAAAACCAGCCTGCATGTGGAAGAGTGGCTGTGAGGGAGGTCATGCTGTGGTTGCACTCCAGGGCTCCTCTGAGCTGCCCAGACACACACTCACCAGCAATCACAGGACTTCTTGCTTCAGACAAAAGCCAACAGCCTAAAGGGGTCCCCAAACCTGCTGCACGCCAGGCAGTGGCCCAGCAGCCAGGGATGTGCTTGTCAACCCACAGAGCTGTGTTTGCTTTCAGCAGAGAACAGACCCAACTGACAGAAACCACCTTCCAGTTACATGGGAGAGTTTTGGGGGGTTTGGGGTGGGTATTTTGGTTATGCTTTAGAACAGAGCCCATGCAGGGCTGAAAACAGCTGAAGAGAAGCCAATCATCGCTGCCACCACCATCTGCAAAGCCACCCAGTGAGCAGTGAGTTCAAGGTTGCTGGATTTCTTTCAGTTCTACCACCCTTGTGGAGCCAAGGTCTGGTGGAAGTACCAGAACCAGTGCTATAAAGGAAAAGGCTTAGGGTAGTTGTCACTAAAAGTCATGAGTTGTGTTCTCCACCACACTATACACAAGAGATAGTGATGACATCAATTCACAAGAGGCAGAAAAAGCTTAGAGGGCTTTGACACTTCTTAACATCTGAGAAACCCTTCCAGGACCAGCGCTGGTGGGGCTGGATCTGAAGCATCAAATCACAACGTGCATTAGCACAGAGAAGCTCTATTTGAAAGCATTTGTACGGCAACTATCAGCTTCTCACCAAGTCCCGCTGATCCTCCTGCACCAAGTCCATCTTGTGCACTAGACAGAAGATCTTTGCATCGGGAGAGTTCTGAAGGATTGCCTCCAGGCACGACTGGTAGTAGTGCATGTCCTTCTCCAGCTCACGGCTCTCCACATCAAAGACATAGATGAGGACTTCCACGTTGCGGAAGATGTTGTCCCGTTGGCTGGTGAAGTAGTTCTCCATGAAGGTGTCCTGCCTGCAAAGGAGCAGAGCAACAAGGGAGAATCCCATTAGAGCAACCAGGTCTGGCTTAGCATTGTCAGGAATCATCGTATCCCAGCCTGGTTTGGGTGGAAGGGACCTTAAAGCTCCTCCAGCTCCAACCCCTGCCCCGGGCAGGGACACCTTCCACTAGAGCAGGTTGCTCCAAGTCCCTGTGTCCAACCTGGCCTTGAACACTGCCAGGGATGGGGCAGCCACAGCTTCTCTGGGCACCCTGTGCCAGCGCCTCAGCACCCTCACAGGGAAGAGCTTCTGCCCAAGAGCTCATCTCAGTCTCCCCTCGGGCAGGTTAAGTTTCAGTTCTGAGCACGCACCCGTTTGGATCAAGCTGGCGATGAGCAATTCTGAACCCAGCTTCACCTCCACCACCTCAGGAGAAGCCCAGGTGAAGGGCTCACTCAGGCTTGTTGCCAGCAGAAGGAGCAGGCAGCGAGGGAAGGCTGGAGCCACACACTGTGCCTGTCATGCTGGGATAGCTCCAGAGGCAGCGCGGCCTCCACACACAACCCGGGATGATCCATCCACCCTTCAGAGCTGTCGCGCCAGTTTTACAGTGCACACACGAGGCTGTTCTGTTCCCTCCACCAGCAGCACACACATCCCTCGGCTTTGTCCCATCCCCAGAGCTAACCCCAGTGGTTTCAAAGGCAGAAGATTAAACAGTACCTACCCTCCGCAGTCCCAGAGGTTTAACACCAGGTTTCCTAGGAATCTAACATGGGAGTGCTCCACGTCAACTGGAAAGAGACAACAGGAGTTTACAAGTGAACCACAAACTCAGCTCAGAGCTACCTCCTTGGGCAGCCAAAATGCTGTTCCTCACTGCCCACAGCTTGTAAAACCCCATCCCAACACCACTGCTGGATGTAAACCTGCAGCTGAAGGCACTGGAGGAATTCAAGCCTGCTTCCTACGCTGGACACTGCTCCCTGGAGAAGCAGAGCAGGAGGTTCCCCTTCAGCAACACGTGCTCTGACCTTCGGGATGTTTTAAGAACGACATGAGTTCCAGCACACTCTGCAAGGCCTTAAATGAGCCTTAAAAGCAGTAATTCAGTCACACAGAGGATGTGAACTTTATGAACAGGGCAGATCTATGGCAAAGAGGGACTGCAGGTCACCTCAGCACTGCTTCCCAGCGAGGAGCACCAGATCCTGACAACTCCCACCCCTGCCTCACAGGAATCACTTGTGCTTTTTCACATCAGTAGTTCTGGAGGTAAAAAAGGGCACAAGACACTAAATAAGCCAAGTGCCGCATCCTGCCACAAGCTCAGGTGCTTAGAGACACCACTGTGCTCCAGCTGCACTGGGATCAGCTGGCCAGCAACAGGGAAGCTTCACCACCACGCAGGAGGCTCTGAACATTCCTTCTCAATAGGTGCAGCTGCAGCAAAGGCTGCCTCCTGGTCAAAAGAGAGAGTTAAGGATAAAAGTTCCCCCATAAGGCAGCACAGCTGAACCCAGAGCTGCGTTCCCTTTCACTCCAGCTCCCTACCTGCCCGCAGCTGAACTCAGGGGTGAAGCTCCTGTGAGGTGCAGGATGAGCACCCACCTACTCCAGCGCAGAGGAGAGGTGGGTCTGCAGCCTCTCCCCTTGAGCAGAGGGGGTCTGCACCCCGAGAACTCGCTGTTCACACAAGAGAACCCTTACTTGTGGCACCCAGGCGCCGCGTGTCCCTGGCGATGTAGTTTGCAAAGATAATGGACCTCATGCTGGTCTTCCCAGACCCACTTTTACCCATCAGCAGCACCTGGGAAGGAGAAAATACAGAGGAATTGGCTACTACAGAGCAGCAAGTCCTTCCCGGCTCCCCCAGGGTGAACATCTTGCTGCTGAAGCCACCAAAACACATTTCAGATGTGAACACATCAGAAGAGAGAGGCGAGAAGAGGACCTGGGAAAGCAGGAGACAGACACCCTTACACTCTTGCCAGCCATGGCCACTGGATCGTGGTCAGACTGAAAACCCTTCCAACCCCATTTGCACTCCTGATCTCACCCTCTCGGGAATCTCTGCCCTTCCAGGCTCCACATTCCTGGTCCCAGCCACCAGAGGTGCAGCCCCTTTTCCCACTGCCCCCTGGCAGAGGACTGGGAACCAGCGCTGGGTGAGAGCAGGAGCTGCTCCAGCCTCCCCCATCCCATCCCCTCGCCTCCCAGGTGCACCAGCACCACTGGGGAAGGCTGGATGGTTCTGCTGGCACCAAAGGACTTTGCCAAGATGAGAGAACACCTTTATCTCAAGCCTGTAAGACGAGGCTGGAAACAACCCCATGCCCACCCAGCACGGGTGTTCTCCACCTCTCCTTACCAAGCTCTTTTCCTTATCACAACGTGACTTGTTTACTCTTCCCCACCAGAGGTGGAATACACGTTACACTTCAAGTTACAGCAGTAGAAGCAGATGGGACAGCCCGGTTCAGGTGCACCAGGCTGTCAGCCAGGGCAGCACTTGACTCCACAGCCATGGAACCCCAGACTGGTTTGGGTTGAAGGGACCTTAAAGCTCCTCCAGTCCCAACCCCTGCTGCGGGCAAGGACACCTTCCACTAGAGCAGGTTGCTCCAAGCCCTGTCCCGGGCCTTGGTCTGTTTGTAGATCATTGGGCCAAAGGTGAGGTAGCAGCTCTGGCAGCCACAAAGGGGGTGACTGGAGGGGGCAGAGGGGAGACAGTCACACAGGGGAAGGCTCTACCCTGTGATCTAGAAACACAACCTGCCCCCCCGCAGCGGCAGCAGCAGAGGCTCAGACGCAGCTGTTCAACAAGTTCCAATTACAAAGGCAAATCCAGCCTTTGACAGCTCTGAGTCTACCACCAAGGATCACTTTAACAGAGCACAACCAGCCCACGGCCTGCCCAGCACACAGCTGGGGAGGCACCAGCTCCACTTCCCCACTGGACACCAGCAGCGGCCACAGCCTCCGGGCCGCAGGGGCAGACTCGGCCCGTCCTGTTGCGCGGGTTGTCCCTCACTCGCGGCAGTTACTGCTCTGAGGAGAGCCGGAGAACAAACTCAAACCTCATTTCACAGCTTCAAGCACAGGACACATCTGTGCCTCTGAGGGTCTTAAGAGGCACCAGAGGACACGCCAGGGTACGGTGCAAGCACACAGTGACGTGAGCAAACACAGGGAGGGAAAGCCCAGCTGCAGAGGATGCTCCTTTCGGCTCTTACCTTTTTCTTCATGGCTGTGCTTGGCATCACCC